TTTTCCTTGTTTGTGTCATAAAACTTAGGGAAAAAAAACTGATAAAAAAGTGAAACCAGAAAACTAGTCAAATTACATACTTTAACATGTTTTAAACACTCAACTATCAAAGATAGCACTGGAAAGAAAAGGAGAGTCACTTTTATAATTTTCTCTACACATTAGAAGAAATGTGGGCCAAATCACTTCAAAACCAATCTGGTTAAGTCTGTGGTTAACTGGAAATGAAAACTTGCAATCAATATGTTGTTGAAACTCTGCCACCTGGTGGAATTGATCAAGAACTGCAAGAAAAGCAATTTTCATTTTTTCTTCCCCTTCTGGTTGTTTCTGTTTCCTCAAATTGATCATGCAATTTAAAGAATGAAAGGCTGAATAGAAGGTGTCTTGGAGGAAATAAACACAGAAACTTAAAAAAATATGTTTCTAAAAGTAGACTATCTTGAAAGTAAGTAACATGGAAAAGTATCGTTAAAGCAAAATACATAAACAATACAGCGCTTTAATGTTAATATAATGCTGTGCAGGAAATTTTATGTGAAAAATTCTTATACTCTTTTAGTTTATATCAAAATTAAATCCTCTATGTTTTTAATCAGCATTGTAATTATGAATGATCAGCTATAAAATCATAAAGAATGAAGAACTTTATCTACCAAAAATAGCATCTAGGTTAGAACTCAGTCTTCATCTTTGAGATTATTAATTTGACTTGAACTGATCCAATAGCTATGCACTGCTAAGTCACCTGGTTGCCACCCAACTTTTCAATATACTAGGTTTTTATCTAAAAGCTTTGCACTGTTTTTATTTCATTTGTTGCACTTATTTCACAATGCAGATATTTAACATAGCCTTCAAATACATGTATGTGTGTGTGTGTGTACCTAGCATATATTGATGACAGTGTAATACAGGAAACATTATACTCAATATTATAACTTATAAAAAGGAAATGAACCAATGTAACAATGGTTACAATAGTGACTCAATTATCTGTAAGACCTTTTTATGTAAATTCATATCTAAACTTATGAGAAATGTTTTATAAATTTATACCTCCAAATTTTCTTATTGCAAACATAGCTTAATCTTAATGTTTCATGGTGTTTCTAAGATGGACTTACTCAACAAAAATAGCATTATGGTTACTTGAACATTAACACTCTTCCTAAATTTAGAAAATGGGCAAGTGTAACACACTGAAGGAAATGGGAAAGCTCTATTTTATAGAAAATATGCATAGGATAAAGATAGAAAATGACACCTGAGAAATGTCATCTCTTCTAAAACTAACTTGCCTCTTATTTTGGAAAACTGGGCAACTGAGTGAACAAACCTATACAAAGCACTTGAATTAATCAAAATTGAAACATCAATCTCTTCAGAAAATAAAAAAGAAATACATAATGATGCATAGTAAAACTTACAAACCAAGAAAAAATGTCACGTATTTTTTGAACACATACACAGTGCATACAGACATGTATGGGGTAGAGCAGACTGACTTCACAATGTACCCAGACTGCACTCATCAAATCACATCAGTCATCACTTACAACTTCTCAAGCATTACTCATTGTCATGTGTTGAAACTCTGTATACTCTCTGTCTTGAATTGTGAGAGACCATGGGTAACCTACTGGGCTATAGAATTGTGGCTAATATAGCTACTTGATACTGTGTTAAACAATACTATATTTGTATATATAGAACTGTGTTATGGAGCCTTTTATCTAACCTCTTGCTTCTTCCCCACTCCCTACGTTCTTAATTCCTAGAGATCTCTTTTCCACCAAATCTATGAGAAGGAAATTTTCTCAAATGAAAGAGATCCTAGGATATCTGTCCTTTCTCTGCTTGCAAGATCTCACTTAATGTAAGCATCAAAATAAGACACAGGATCCATGACTCCAAATCACTTGTTGATGCACTTAATACATTGTAAGGCAAAGATAGCAGTAAAAAATGTGTATAGACAAGGAATCAGAAATTTCCTTGGTGTATGAGTAGATCCCATTTTCGTTGGATACCTGCAGAAAAAAGCACATTAGGAAAAAAAAAAAAAGACAGCTATAAATGTTAGATGATTGGCTACCAGAAATAATGTCTTCAAACAAATAACAAATGTGCACAAAACGCTAAGTATTGAAAAGGAAATATAAGCTATTTCATGTTTCCTAGCCAGTTTTGATATCACTGTGATGTTGTTAGACTAGTCAGACAAAGAAGGAAGTTATGGACTACCGGAGTCGGGACAATCAGAACTGCACACTTCCCCAGCTGTGCGCTGTGGTCCTGCCCATCGTCCGCCAACACACTGCTCAGGCCCCTCCTTGCTGGCACATTCATTGATTGCTGCAGTTTAGGAATGTGTTATTGATTTGTAATTACAGAACTTCCTACATAGGGTAAGCTAGTTTATGGAAGTAAACTAAGTTTCTGATTTGAAAGCCTAAAGCAATAATTTCTTTCTAAAACAGTGTTTTTATATTTTAATGATCTATTTAAATATAAACCTGTAGTACCTTTTCAGGCCATGTTTGTATCTAAAATACATTGAATATCATGCCTTAAAACTATGTTTGTTTTGTGCCCAGCGTGATAGCGCAGCTGTTAAAGTTCTTGCCTTGAACATGCCGGAATCCCATATGGGCACAGGTTCTAATCCCAGCTACTCCATTTCCCATCCAGCTCCCTGATTATGACCTGGGGCAGCAGTCAAAGATGGTCCAAAGCCTTGGAACCCTGCACCCACATGGGAGACCTGGAAGAGCTCCTGGCTCCTGGCTTCGGATTGGCTCAGCTGCAGCCATTGTGTCCACTTGGGAGTAAAACATTAAACGGAGGACCTTCCTCTCTGTCTCTCCTCCTCTCTGTATATCTTCCTTTCCAATAAAAATAGATAAATCTTAAAAAAAAAATTATGTCTGTTTCTAGCATTCAAATGGATTGTGTGGCTTAGAGATGTGTGTATATTTTCATACAATAACATGCTTATTTGTTTTTACACAGGTGTATAATAGTGTTTTTTAAGAGACAACTATACTATTGCTTCTATCATGGAAACTGAAGACCAATTCATTGACCTCAAATATTATCAATTTGTTTAGCAAATGAAAATTCCGTTTTGAACATATACTTAATTTTTTTGTGATCTGTATCATAGACATCAGTAAGTCTCAGAATTTCCCCCATACAGAAAATATTCATGTTAAAACATAATAACTTTCCAATCCTTCCAAACCTTTATATTCACTCATCTCTTCTATATTGTAAATTGAAATAGACAATAATGTGCATTCCCATAGACCATTAACTTTACAAAGTGCATTCTTGACATTTGTGCTTTAAATTTCTATTAAACATTTGAGTAATGTTTAGGAAAGCAATAAATAATTGCCATGGTTTCACTTACTGCTCTATTATTCAAATCTTGGAAAAACCCCGGAAAGGACAGTGTTCTAAGTTCCACCACTTTTCATTCCTCAGACATGAGTTGTCCATTATAAATTACCAGAACACCACAATATAAAATTTTCATTTGCCTAAACTGCCCCACAAATGTTATCATTGAACTGCAGAAAGCTATCTTAATGAAGCTTAAATTTTATGTATCATCAATGAACATGTGCAGTATACTCTCGTCCTGTTTCTTTTATATCCTCTGCTATCCAGACTAACCAAATTTGCCCCATATTTTTCAAATATTTATTACTGGAGAGAGATCCTGAGAGCCCATCTGCTGGTTCACTCTCCAGACGCCGCGAATTGTTCTGACCAGGACGCAAAGCAGCTGCCTGGACTCGGTCTCCGCCTTCCACAAGGTGAGCAGGGACTCAAACATTTGCTGAGTCATCCCTGCTTCCAAGAACACACGTTACCATGCAGCCAGAAGCAGGATCAGAACTGTGACTTAGCTTTTTATCTAATTAGATCAAAGATTTTTTTGAGTTTTTTCTCCAATTCAGGGACAGAATAAATTATCACGGTCTCCCTTCTCTTTGCAGTATTCTTTATTTGAAATGTATGTTTCCTTAAAAATCTTTATTACCACTGTGCTTAATTATAAAGGATGAATCATATTCTCAAAGTGTCTGTAAAATAAGTGCTTTGTTAAGTAACAAAATGAATTAAATTAAAACTACGTGCTTTATAAATCATGTCTATGTTTTAGGTATAGCGTGGACATTACATAGAGTACTCATTTCTACAGTGATGTCTCCATCGTTTTTATTTGCCTGTGCTCCTAGAAAGATACATTATTCATATCATGCGCTTTGTTTTATCAATGGCTATTATGGAATGTCACTAATATTTCTGGAAAGTTATAGATACATTTTGTTACAGATATTTACGTATTTTTAAAATATTTAAAATTTTCTTATTTGTCTTAACGTGTTAAACTTCCACATGTGTAAAATAATGCCACTGAGTTTTAGAGGTTATACTATTATTTCTTCTTTTTACTTTGTTTTTCTTCTCCTGGAACTTATACATTGATATGTTGGTAACACTGATTTTATCCCACAGGTATCTTAATCTTCACTGCTTTTTATGTTTTTTTTTTTTCTTCTCAAAATCATTAAAGATCTGAAAGTGTATGTTTAAACTCACTCACACTTTCATCTATTCATGGAACCTGATAAAAAGGATCATACTGAATCACAATCTCTGTAAAAATATGTAATAGTTCCCATGTCCCTGCATGCTTATGCTCTTTATAACTATCAAATCCAGTGATTCGAGACAAGGACTCAGACAGCCCAGACAATAGCTATTGTTTTTCATGGTTACACTACATTGTAGTGAGTGCCTACGTTTTGACATCGGAAAATGTAAAGGGAACTTCAACACAAATCCAGAAGGGACCAATGGACAAACCTCCAGGCATCCTCTCTCAGTTGGGCAACGTGGTCAGAATAAATTCTTATGGGGATTCCTGAGCATAGGTCCAAGCACCAACAGAGAAATAAAAGTGATTCTTTTTGTTTTTTCTTTCCAAGGGAGAGCAAAACTCAGGCCTCCATTATGACAAATAATACAGTTGAGTTTCCCAGATTTGAGGAAATCGCAGGGGTCAGTACATCCCAAGTGCAATGGATGAGCCTCGCCTTGGGAAAAGCACCTGTGTGATCATGGTCCCTTCCCTTCCAGGTAAGTATAGAATTGATTCTTTACATAATAAGATAGTGCCCAATAATATTCTAAGTGGAATAAGGACTATTAAAAATGCATGATGTATTTTCACACTGTCAGAATTACAAAGTTTAGAATAATATTCTAAGACTATAAACATCCTAAAATGGCACAGCTTTGGCCATCACCAAACTTCCCAAAATGTGTTGATAAGTCCCATTTTATTTTTAGGTCTGGCTTCCTTCTGGTTAATTCTGGGTAAAAGGAGCTAGTGTTCAATTAGTGTTTCTTTGAGATACTGGGTCTTTGTGTCATCCAAGATTCTGCATTATATCTATGGGTGACAGATGGTTTTAAGTTTTCCCAGATCCTGCTCTGATACCTCCTGAGTATACATTCAAGGATATCCCATAGCTAAGTACATGTTCTTTGTAAACACGACACCCAAAATTCAAACTGAACTCATGAGACTTTTTCATATCATTTCCTGACACAAACATGGAATCCCAGATATTCTAGCATTTCTCTTAAATCATGGAGCTATCAACTTCCTTGTAAATTTTTCCAGTAACATTTTCATTGATTTGAACAACGTTCTCAAACATGGATACTAAGATGATTGTTTCCAAATAAAATGAGTTTCATCATTCGAGTCTATGGATGCTGTCATCCACACGGCCTGCTTTTCTCCTAAAACATAATCAATGAAGGATTTCAACAAATTGATGGGAAACTCCATTTTCCAAATGGGCATGTAGGATTAGGAGGACTTTATTCTTGTTTGGACTTGCTATCATCAAATCTTACTATCATCAAATGAGATAATTAGCCAAGTGGCAACTGGGGACCAGCATTCCTGGTATACACTGTCTATAGAAGAGATTCCATAGTATGATTGCAAAACACATAGAAAGAAACACTCAATTTGTTCAGAATTCCAATGAAAAAATGGCTCAATAAAATAAGCAAAGGAAGCAGAGAAATGCCAGCAGCTTCCCTCTCCTGGCATAACACGTAAGCCTGGAATTAAGACATGGAGCAGCCACTGCTGACTTTACCACACCTGTACGGGATAGGGCATCCAAAGCAGGCATTCCATAATGGAGTTAGGAGTATAGGGGGTAGAACAAACAACAACTCAAGTTTTAGTTGAATTATTTCATTCTGAACCTGTCTTTAATATTTCCACATGTGTGTGGCCAGTGACTCAATTGCAGATGCACAGTTTACAAACAGAATTTGGGACACCCCTTTGCTATGCGTTTCTTTTCTTGGTTACCGATTACTCTAATTTCTGAATATCGAGGATTCAAGCCTTCTTCTCTGTGTTTTCTAGTTCAAAGACTACAAATAATCTTTATCACAAAACAAAATTTGTCTTCAAGGTGAATCCTCTAAAACAGAAATGTGGGCCCGGGGCGGTGGCACAGTGGTTAAAGGTCCTCTCCTTGCACACCCGGGATCCCATATGGGTGCGGTTCTAATCCCGGCAGCCCTGCTTCCCTTCCAGCTCCCTGCCTGTGGCCCGGGAAAGCAGTCGAGGACGGCCCAAGGCTTTGGGAACCTGCACCCGCGTGGGAGACCCAGAAGAGGCTCCTGGCTTTGGATTGGCATAGCATCGGACCGTTGCGCTCACTTGGGGAGTGAATCATCGGATGGAAGATCTTCCTCTCTGTCTCTCCTCTCTGTATATCCGCCTTTCCAATGAAAAAATAATAAAAATAAATCTTTAAAAAAAAATAAAACAGAAATGTATCCTCTGTTGGTGCCTTCAGTCATCACTGTGATTAACCCAATGTCTGCTCAGCTTTAATCATTCTGAATCTTTACAGATCATGTTTTAATGTTTTTTTTTTCCTGAGGAATTGCTGAGATAAGAGCTATTTGTTGTTACTGACATGATCATATGCTTTTAGTCATATTGTAGACGTAACTTTTTAACATTGCTAATAAAACTACACTAACTAGAATCATAACTTACATAACTTCCTTTTGTTTCAGACCTTTTTAAAATATTTTGAAAATGCAAACATAGCTTTGGATATTATCTAATAAAATTGCACAAAACAGCCAAGGTGATAAAAACGACTATTTTTTTTTATTATATCTTTACAACTTTTCCAAAGATAACACAATGATCGTTTTACATTAAAAACATATATGATATGACTTCGATCAACAAAAATGCATTCTTTTCCTGGAGACTTGGATTTGGAAATCAAGATGTTTTCCAAGTCCATCGTTCTCCGGGATTCTGAGCTTCGGCACAGATTTTTCTTTTTCGTTTCTTTCCAGCTTCTTATACTGGCCATTGATTGTTGTAATCACTTTGCTATAGCTATATTCCTCTGATGTTTATCATCAAGTGACTTTCTCTGTGAATCTGATTCTTGATAAAGCATTTGTTTCTTTAAGATCCTAGTCACACTGCTCTAGGACTCACTGTAATACTGCATGAATGGCTGCTGATCTCCTAATCCATTTAATTTGCAATGATTACATCCCTAAATTTATTCACATTCATGTGTGCTAGGACTGTGCATTTTTCTAACATTAAAAGTCTTTGAGACATCAAAATATATTCTCTGTTGGATGAAGATATCTTGGATTGTCTCTTGCCTTTTTTTTAAGAAGTATTTATTTTTCTTGCAAACTCAGATATAGAGAGAGAAGAAGGAAGAAGAGAGGAAGAGGAAGATCTTCCCTCCAATGATTCACTCCCCAAGTGATCGCAACTGGCTGGAGTTGCACCAATTGGAAGCCAGAAGGCAGGAGTTCTTCTAGGTCTCCAACTAGGATGCAGAATCCCAAGGCTTTGGGCCGTCCTTGATTGCTTTCCCAGGACACGAGCAGGGAGCTGGATGGAAGCAGAACCCATGTGGTAGTAGAACCAGCACCCCTATGGGATCCCAGCATGTTCAAAGAGAGAACTTTAGCTGCTAAGCCACCCCACCGGGTCTTGCTCTTTCTTAAGGTAGACATTTTTAGATCCCCCAATGAGATCAAGAGCTGTAAGAGACTCATGGGGCAACACATGAACCCCAGAAGATTGTTTCTGTTTGACTGCATTCCTGATATTCCTGATTTTTTTTCTCTCGTTTTAGATTCTTGTGTGACATCTTCCCAGTGTACCGTACTTTATCATCAGTTTTCTAGTTTTATGCTTCAGTTCTTGTTCTTAAGAAATGGCTTGTCTTAGCTCTTGGTATAACTTCCATATTGACTCACTCATAATCCCTGTCACATAAACTCCTCTTCTAACTGTTGGCCACAACTCACCACTGTGATAACCCTTCTGGAAGTCATTCTAGAACAGTGCCTTTTCCTCAACCAGCTGCTCTGTTACCCTCTGCTTCCCTCCTCTGGCAATATCGAGTCACTGCAGCATCTTCTCAAGTTCTTACAGGTTCATCTTTGTTCCTATTTTTGTTTTTAAACTTCGTTATATATCCCATCCCTTCAAGAAATATTTCTTAAAAATCAGACTTTCACAAAATAGATTGGGAGAACATGACGTTTTGCAAAATACATGTTCTTTCTGTCTTTTAATTCACTTAATGGACAGGATGCTGAAGAAAGTAGATATTAACCAAATAATGAGGTTTTGCTGCCTTGGGTTGCATGATTGTGTTCTGCGCATTTCTTTAGTTGGCAGCATGTCAGATTCAAATTATTTGGGGCATCTCATATTAAAATAGTTGCTTTTCATTTGGTCACATTATTCATTCACTTTTTTTTTCATTTTCTCACTTAAATTTCTCAGACTTTTGTGCTTAGAGCATAAAGCACTGGTGAGCTGAGAGAAACAAAGTGATCTCACTGTGACATATAGAATAACATGTAGTACAAGACAGCGATTTTTAAAGATCAAATACATTTATCTAAAAAGAAAGGCAGAATGAATTAGAAATACAGAGAATATCTGATGTATGCAAAAAGTGAATATATGCTTTCCATACAATGAGCATTATGCAAACGTTTCGACTTCAGTTTCCATTTTCTAGTATAATTACCATTATTTTGTGTATTTATAATATTTTTTTTTAATTAGGTAGACTGCTCACCATGTAACTCATACAAATGTTATCTGTGTGTATATATATGTATATCTTCAAATAAATGTGTACATATATATGTACACATTTATTTGAATAATTATGAAAATTCTATACAAAAACTTTGTTAGATTTTTAATTATCAATACACAATCAGTTGAAAGATGAATAATTGTCCTCATGGAGTATTCAATAGTTAACTGTAGTGTAGGTACTGCTCTAAATACTCTAAGGAGTCCAAACACTCTATGTTGAAATGCTTCTTTATTTTTTAAGGGACAAGGAAATTATTTTCAGGGAAGGTTTAAGAAATTTATGGTCATCTCAGCAGCTGAGATGACCTTTCAGTTCTACTTCTGCAACTATTGTTTTTATTCCACTAAACTGGGAAACAAAGATGAGAGTTGCATATGCTTAATGTTCCAGCAAGCACATGTCTTCAAAACTTTTTTTTTAAAGTCACACTTAATTGTAAGATATTTTAAGGCCTGGTATAGTGGCTTAGTGGTTAAAGTCCTTGCCATGCACACGCTGGGATCCCAAAACGGTTCCAGTTCAAATTCTGCCTGCCCCATTTCCCATCCAGCTCCCTGCTTGTGGCCTGAGAAAGCAGTCCAGGATAGCCCAAAGCCTTGGGAGCCTGCACTTGCATGGGAGCCCCAAAAAAGGCTCCAGGCTCCTGGCTTCAAGTCGGCACATCTTGGGCCATTGCAGCAGCTTGGGCAGTAAATCAATGAACAGAAAATCTTCCTTTCTGCCTTTCCTCTTTGTATATCTCACTTTCCAATAAAAAAAAAAGGGGGGGGGGATATTTTAACAATACAACAACACCTTCTTTCAACTTTGTACTTCATTATTATTTTTTTAAGATTTATTTATTTTTATTACAAAGTCAGATATACAGAGAGGAGAGACAGAGAGGAAGATCTTCCATCCAATGATTTACTCACTCCCCAAGTGAGCACAACGGC